CTCTGTTTGCTTCAGAGAAAAGTTTCTGTCTGACCTGCTGGTGAATCTGGAACAGTTTGTCCAGAGCTTCAGAAAACTGAGTTCAGATCAACCTAACCTACACACTTTAAAAAAAAAATCAATTTGCTTTTTAAAATTTGGCACTGGGTGTCTAAACCAAGGCCTTGTGCAAACACTCAACCACTGAGCTACCTTCCTTCACCCCTAGTTAACTTTCTGTCCTAGAACTTGTTCCATATAAATGATACATGTTGAGTCATTTTGGTAAGACTGTAAATCCTATTCTCTTCCTTGCTGATAGAACCTTTGAGGAGAGAAATACGCAGCAGAATATCTGTCTTATTTATCAATTGCAATTCAGCCTGTAGATGAAATACGTAAACAGGTAAAACAAAGTCGCTCATCATCCAACTGACATCATTTCTGGGGGACAGTCAAGGGTTCAGTGAGCAAGTCCCTTAGAGCACTGGCCTTTACTTTCTTCTGGAAGGTATTGCTCTCCAGTCTTTCCTGCTACTGCCTCACTCCCAAGATGACAATGTCAACTCAGTAAATCACAGAATCTTTAATGACAGTGTGCACACCATGTACTGCTCAGTGAACAAATGCCAGCTAAACTCTGTTTGTAATTGCATGAGCTAATCTACCTAAGCTTCTTCTATAAACCCTTAGCATTGCTTTACCCCCAACATGTTTTGTGTAACAACTAGTGATTTTATAACCACTGAGTCTCAGAGGAAAATCACTGAACCATAGCGGAGCCCAGCAAAGTCATCTTCCCGTCATTCAACCTCTCTAGAGTCACGGTTACATGATTCCAACCAGATGTGAATTGCTTCTCCCAGGCAGACCCTCCCTCAGTGGCAAACTCCAGAGGTTGGGGATTAAACCTATTAGAAATCCTGTCTAGGCTATCCCTTAAAATGGGAGTCACAGCTGGACAAATCTGGGCTATCTACCAATTTTCTCTTCTTCTGGGAAGATGAAGAAGCGTTCAGAAACAAGAAAGTGGGGTTTCCGGAAAATTAATTCAGTGTCTGAGCTCAGAAAGAAAGCGGTAGTGGGAAATGCTTGATGCTCATTAAAGGAAAACATGTTTGTGGCAGGTGCAGCCAACGATAGCGAGATAGGGCTTCAAACCAAACCCACATCTTATCATTATTATTATTAACTAAGTTAATGTGACTGTGCATTTTATCATTTAGAAGAAAAAGAAGTCTTCTTGTAACCCTCATAAATGGGCACTTTCTGTTTAAATTGCATTTAAAATTTCAAGATAAGTAAGAAATATCCATTCATTTTTACTTCTTTTACTGCATACATCTTTTTTATTAAAATATTTTTTCCAAATAAGACTTTTCATTCCTTAAATGTGTATGAAAAGCAAAGCAGGTTTTTACCATTTCAACAACCTATCATTGTGACGTTCATCATCCAGAATATAGTAATTTTTTTGCTAATTCCTGTCTTTTCATCTTTTAATTATAAAATTTTAAGCTTCTTAAAAGTACTTTGAAAGGATTACATTAACATTTCTAAGCTTTATTTTAGTTTAGTTAAATATCTTTACTTTTCAATTTATAGTTCACTTCTGTAAATATTACCAGAATTGACCGCCTCACAAGATTACCATAAAACATCAAAAACCATTAGCATCACCTGTATTTTATTTAGTAAGTGAAAAATTAGAAACTCAGAGAGGCTGAGCAACTTACACAAGATCACATAGCCAGAGAGAGGAACACTGGGATCACTTGACTCCTATCAAGTTACCCTCCCCCAAACCAAACAACTTTTCCAAATTAGCTCTTTATAATACAAGAGGCCATGCTGAATGGTCAAGAGAGATGCCATCTGACCTTTGACCTCATCAACAGAGGTCATAGACTTACTAGAATAAAGGAGAGTTATGAAGTTATATGTTCAGTAAAATACAATTTTTAAAGATTATTTTGATGCGTGTGTGTGTGCACGCTGTGCATGTATGTGTGCTACTGTATGTCACATGCATGTGTGTGCCCACAGGGGCCAGAAGAGGCATTAGACCCCACTCAAGTGGCAACATTTGAAGTCTTGGAAGAACAGCATGTGCTCGTAAGTGTTGAGCCATCTCTCCAGCCCCCAATCTCAGTTCTTTATGAAAAAAAAAAAAGTCTAAAGACTAAGAATAATTATACAGAACAGTAGTAGGTGACATTACAGTAGCATGGTGACATTACAGATAATCCCTTTCATTTTTTTCTTTAGTTTTTTGGCCTCTGCACAGTTTTAGTAAATCAGTGAGAACAAACTCCATAACAAGAAAGATAAATGTTCAAGCCTGTCTACTTCAGTCTCTTCTCTGATTAGAGTATCTGGTATGTTTGATTTTCACTTCTTTTTTTTTTTTTTTTTTTTTTTGGTTTTGTTTTGTGAGGTGTCCCCTGCCCCCACAACCTGGAAATTTTTTTTAAGGCAGGTGTGGTTTCAATGTGTATATATATATAAATAAATAAAAATA